GCACAGAAAGCTGCCTTTTTTACAGGCCCACCAGCTTTAGGAACTGAGCAGGAAAGAACGTGTTTCATTGCATCTTCATGTGCTTTGAATGTGTTTAATATGGAGTATCTTTATATTGTTTGGTTTGAAGTATTTAAAAATTGTTGATTTATTTGTTGACCTATGAGTTATCTGGACGTGTGTTTTAAAATGTCCAAGTATATAAGGATCAAAAAGTCTTTTAAGTTGACTTTTAATTTAATTGTATGGTAGTCAGAGAATACGATGCATAGTTTACCTATTCTTTGAAGTGTGCCGAGAATCTTGCATAATCAATTTTTGTAACTGTTAGAGTGATTAACCGTCTGAAGTTGTTTGGGGCTGAAGGGTTTCCTGAGATAAAAGACTTTCAGTGCTAAAATCAGGAAAGTCCTGTGCTGATTTGGTTCCTGTGTATACCTGAGAATGGTACGGGCTTTCTCATTATTGGGTGCAGAGTTCTAAACAGATACATTGGATCAAGTTTATTTATTTAAAATAAGCAATTTTTAGTTAAAATTTTTATTTTGAGAAAATTATAGATTCTTAGGCAATTGTAGGAAATAACAGAGAAATTCATTGTATCCTTTAAAGTTTCCTGTAATGGTAACATCTTGCAAAAGTATCCTGGAACATCACCACCAGAAATTGACGTCGATGCAGTTTTCTTCAGGTGTCATCAGTTTTACCTTGTACTCGTGTGTGTGTGTGTGTGTGTGTGTGTGTGTGTAGTTCTGTACAGTTTTAGCACATGTGTAGGTTGGTGCCTGCACCACCACGTCAGGTTACGGCCATCACAACAAAGACGCCTCCTGTTACCCTTTTACCACGACAAGCACCTCTCTAGTTCCCCTCCCTCCCCTCTCTCCTATCCCTAACCCTTGGCAACCACTCATCTGTTCTCCGTTTCTAAACGTTTATCATTTCAAGAGTGTTCTATAAGTGGAATCAACAGTTTGTAACCTTTTGTTGTTGTTTTTTTTTCCACTCAGGTCTTTCCTGGGAGATCCACACATGTTTGTCCCTTTTTGTTGCTGTGTAGTATTTCAGGTATGGGTCGACTGAAATAAAACACACAACCTAAAAGTTGAGAGTTATGTTTTATTGATGGACATTTCTGAGGACTTAAGCCCCAGATGACAGACTTTCTGCTCGCTCCAAGCAGCTGTTACAAAGTGACAAGGTAGAAGCCAGGAAATAGGAGTTTTTGCAACAAAGACCAGGTAGTCGAAACATCAAAAGATTACTGTTAATTAAAGAAAACCAGATATCTCAAGTTAAAAAGTTTAGCCCTTTTCTGGGTATGGGAAGGCACAAAGGTCTGGGCTCACTGAAATCATCCCTTAGCTGTCTAGGGCCAGGGCCCTCTTCTTCCACATCCTGGGTCTCCTGGGAGGGGGCACCACTGGGGGCGGCTGCAGAGGCCGGGCTGCCTGCTTGTCTGCATCCTGAGTTAACGTCTGCTCACTGCTGGTGTGGCGGTAGCGGCTGATGGCTTGATGGCCACAACATTCTTCGTTTACTGATACACTTGTAATATTTTTCATTCATGTATAGGTGAACCAGTTTGTTTAGCTATTAACCCAAAGAAGGACATCTGGGTTGTTCCCAGCTTTTGACTAATACAAATAAAGCTGCTGTGGACATTCATGCATAGAATTCTGTGGGAGCCTACATTTCTATTTCTCTGGCATAAATGCCCAAGGATACAATTACTGAGTTTAACAATTGTTTTAAAAAAACTTTTTTTTTTTTGCTGATTTTGTCTGCTTGACTTACAGATAATTGAGAAAGACTGTAAAGTCAATTTATCACTTTATGTATTTTGAAGCTATCCTATATAAGATGCATACAATTTTAGAATCTTTGTAATTTTCTGTCTATAAAATGAGAAGCCCACGTCCTGGGATAGTGGTTCGGGGTTCAGGAATTCTACTGTGCTATTATAAGGCAGGACCGAGGAAGGACCAGCAACTCCAGGAGATGTAGTGATTTGAGACCTCCTTGACTCTGTGGCAACAATGATGTGATGTCATTGTTGCTGAGACCATGAGAAGATTAGCCTGAAGTCGTGCAGTCTTTTGATGTTGAACCGTAGGCATTTCATTA